GTGGCAGGGTCTGAGCAGCCCCAGCTGCGCCCGGTGCCGCGGCACCGCCACGCCAGCCAGTCTAATTAGCTCCCGTTAATTAGCACAGAGGCACCATTACCAGTGCACAAGCCTCCAGACTGGGTTATCTGACTGTGTGTGTATTCTGTGCCTGGAAAGAATGTGACTAAACATTTCTCAAAAGCAAATGTGCTCTATTTTTAATAGATTACACCTGGAAAGACTTCAAGTCACATTATATAAGTCAATATCAAGTATCAAGTGGATACTCAACGTTGTCTTTACTTATTCCTGTTTTAAAGCCAAGTTACGTTTGAGCTTTTGGTCACTGTTGTTCTGAGGAGAGAGAATCTTTATAAATGACTGGCAGGCCACCGTGAATAAAATGATTCCAGAGATCTATTCCTCTCTGAAATAAAAATATATTTAGCATTGTCATTTAGGAGAAGTTCAGTAGTAAGTAACAGGAAGTTACTTCATGGTGCAAGTTACATCTGTAAATTACAGGGCAATGCTTTACTATCCCAGATCCTACAATAGTTTGTTCCAGAAACGTGGAAGAATCATGAGGAAAAAGTAGTATGAGTGAGGAAGTTGCAGTACTTATTAAAAAAACAAAAAAAAACAAGCCCTGACTTTCTACCTACTTCATGATGCCTCTAAGACAAGCACAGCAATAGTCTGCAGTTAATTAGCTGGAACAAAAACCTGTGTTCTGCTTGGTTTGTACAGCATACACAGCTGTATTTTTTTACTTTTTAAATCTTGTCAAGTAGATAAATAGAAATTATATGAACCTGTGATGTGGAAGATCTTTATGTGCAGATTTTGCAGTGCTCTGTAAATGATTAATTAATTTCTTATCAGACACAAGTTCCCATGTGACTAAACTCTGATTTCCATTTTTTTTTAATATAAAAGATGGAAGGGGGCAGGGAGCCCATAAGTAAAATTCAAGAAAAAACAGTGAGCATATGGAGCTAATAATTCCTTATCATGTGCGTAGAGGCGCGCGCGTGTGCTGGGAGACGCGTGTGCTGGGACACGCGTGCCCGCCGTGCCCGGAGCGGTGCCACTGCGGCCCTTGGCACTGCGCGGGGTCGTGTGCCAGGAGCAGCATCCGCGACTGCCCCCTGCTAACGCTGCCTGCCTTGTTTGGAACAGTGGAGCTCAACGAGGTCGGCTTCAAGTTTGTGAGGAAGTGCATCAACGCGGTGGAAACGAAAGGTAGGTCCACAGCGTGGCACTCCACATCACTGGCCTCCTGGCACTCGTTCCTCCAGACGGCCCTGAATTACCTTGTAATTCCCTTAATATAGCAGTGTTAAGTAAAAGTCGAAGTCTCGTTTCATTGCCCACGGAATGTGTGTCTAAGGAACAGAAGCCACAAGCTGTGTAGAATATTCGCCCTGTCAGACCCAGGCTGAAATTCTCCCTTGTATCCTGTTCTCATTCATCAGTGTTTCAGCCTTGCCTTAGGGAGACCTCGTTATTAGGCAGGTGAACAGTTTTGGAAATATTTTATGTGTTGGCGGAAGAGGGAGAGATTAACTTAAATAAAAAATTATTCAGACCCATGTAGTGGAAAACACCAGATAAAGCAGGGGTGTGGGGGGCACTTCACCATCCTGACTTCTCCATGAGGAGTCCAGCTGGTGCCAGCTGTGTCATCCGTATGGGCCATAGGACAAAGCAATGCAGCTCTGTGACATCTGAATGTCTCAGCTGGCTGCAGGGAAGAGCAACTGCTTTAATCTCCAGAGCCTTTCAGAGGGCAGAGCCACCCAGTGCTGTTGAAATAGAGGGGGGCAGACTAATGAGATCCTTCACACGGGGAGACTGAGCTGGGCAAATAAAGCAGTTTTTCCTAACATTTGTCAATATTTTCAAAGAATCTGTTTTATTGTATTTGCCTTCTGTTATAATTTGAAAAAAAATCATTTTAAAGCAGTAACCTTTGCAGATTCAGTGTATTGAAGTAGATATTGCCTGCCAGCTCTGACACATATTCCACATGCTGGCCATAACTGCCCAACAGTGACACAGTTTAGCAGAAAGTGCATTGAACATTGTGATTGTGAACAGTCAGCCCTTATTGTTAGCTGTTTTGTGGTTTAAACTAGAATAAAACTTCTGTCTTAATAATTGCATTTGGACTACTGAATGGTTACCACCAATTGCCATTTGTTAGCAGAATAAGAATAACTTACAGATGTTATTTGAAGAATAAACCTACCCAGTAGTTTTATTCAGAGGTAGCATGATGTGTTGAGGGACAAAATTTTAGGCGGTTTGGATTCTGAATAAATCAGTGCTTTCTAATTAGGAACACTTGCAGTAAGTGCTTTGACACGTGGAATTTTTCATTTTCTATTGCTCCACTAGATGGAGCTTTTGAACTTCCAATGAACTTGAGAAAACCCATTGCTAATGCTTGTTTTGGCTTTGTTATGCACAGGGATCACTACAGAGGGTGTCTACAGAACTGTTGGCAGCAATATTCAGGTGCAGAAGTTGCTGAATGCCTTTTTTGGTAAGAATGAATTATCCTCTATGACTAGATTGTCTTATTTTTATGTTTTTGGAGAAGGACGAGGAGGATGAGATTTCAAAATAAGGTGAATGTGTTGGGCCCAGAATTTCCCCAGGCTGCTGTTGATCTCTAGCCATCCACCTGAGGGACATCGGCCCTTCTTTTCTGAGTTTCTTCTGCAACTGCTCTTTTTTATTTCTCTTTAAGCCACGTTTGTTGCTTGTATTTTAAGTCAGGTGAGATGTTTTGGCAGAAAGGAAAGCAAAGACACTAGAGCACAGCAGACAAGCCTTTTCCCATCGTGTGCTAAAAATACATAGGCATTTTTGTCGTGCTGGGGACATGCTCCTGGCACAGGCCCATAGTATGGGCCATCTGCCAAGGAGAGAGGAGTCCTTACCCGCTCACAGGCCCTTGTTTTGTGCTCTCACAGCAAGCCCTGAGCTCCCAGAACTTTGAGGTGGCGTGTGGAGACCTGGAGACAGGCTGAGCTCTGGTGCCGAGGGGGCAGGAGTTCCTAGGCAAGGAAAGGCAGGAGGAGATGTCCCATGGATGACAGCATTGCTTGCTAATTCTGCCTTACGTGTTTGTCATCACTGCCAAAGAGTTGAGCCAGATTTATTGCTTATGTTGCTCTCTCAACTCCCTGTCCTCTGTAGAAGCTCATTTTTATTTAGACAGTGCAAATGAGAACCTACTAGGAAGGCTAACACCGAGTGCTGTGCGTTCTGCAGAGCTGGCACATGGGCGGACGTGTCTCTTGGTGTGCTCTCACCAAGAACTTGCCTGGCTAAGGATGTTCACAGGAAGATACTTTTTCCCACAGGTCTTTTCCTCTTATACCAGCTCATGCAAAGAGGTTCAGGAGAACCCTTTCCCTCTTTGGATTATCCTGGAGAATTTACTAGGAATCTGCCCTTAGCAAACATGTGCCCTGGCCCCAGTTCCTCAAAAGGCGCAGGTACCTTGCTGTTAAGTTGAATTTACAGAATCCCAGAATGGTTGAGGTTGGAAGGGACCTCTAGAGATCATCTAGTCCAACGCCCTGCTCCAGCAGGGATACCCAGAGCACAGGGCACAGGGCACAGAGTGGCATCCAGGCAGGTTTGGAAGGTCTCCAGAGAAGGAGCCTCCACAGCCTCTCTGGGCAGCCTGTTCCAGGGCTCTGTCACCCTAACACAAAAGAAGTTCTTGAATTTGGTCTTCATAAATGTCAGAGTAAACGAAAAGCCTGTGAAAGTATTTGCAAAATCCCAAACAGGCAGATAGTTGTGAAGGCTTAAGAGGACTGGAAGTGGCAAAAAGTAAACTAACCCATATATCTATTTCCAAGATGCATCCATAACATTTGTAGGTGTGTATCCCTCCAGTGTTGGCTCCTCAACTTACACTAGAAGAATAAAGAAATTGAAAATGTGCCCTTAGGCAGGATTCTAGCACTGTCTATCCCAGCATTCCCCAACACTCTAGTTAGTGTCGTTTCCATTTGTAGGACGCGTCTGTTGCCGACCTCTCAGGGTGCGTGCAGGAGAGCGCAGCCTCCATGGCCTGTGGGACGTTGGTGGGGAGGGAGGCAGCGCTCAGCGGTGCCCATGCAGGGCGGGAGGCCGTGCTCGGTGGTACCCGTGCGGGACAGGGTCCATGAGCAGCTCCCCGTGAGCCTGTGCACGGGGCCCCACGGGCAGGCCCGCAGCGTGGGGCAGCAGGCCTGTTCTTTCCTGTGGATTCCCGCACGGCCTGGGTGCCAGCCAGCCTCCCTCAGCTCCCGGTGCAGACATCTGATATTGATGGACCATTGAAAAGCTGTTACTGCTTTTACTATTGTTGTTGTTTATTATAACGGTCCATTTGCGCTGCCGTGTAGCCCCTCCAGCTTCCCATGGAGCCTCAGCTGCAGACAGCTATCCAGTTACGCTTGCCTGGTGACTAATTACTTAGCCTGAGTTTTTATTGCTTCTTGGTTCTCACCCTCCTGTGAGTAGCTCTGTTTTTCTCTTCTGAACCCAGCAGTGAGTGGCTTGCCATTTATTAAAACACACTGGTGTGGTTGACCACTTGCCACCCCACCATGTACAAATGCCCTGTGGTGGAAAGTCCAACAGGACTCAGTAGACGTATCTGATGCAGAACTCCTCAAACCTTAGTCACAGACTAGATTTTTGCCTCTAGTTCTATTTCTATTTAAAATAAACCACACAATTTGTTTCTTTAGTCTAACTTGCCCCACAAACCACGTCCTTTACTTCCTTGTACCACAAAAATGATGTGGTTATTCAGTGAGCACAGTATTATTCCATATTGCTTTGCCTTTTCCCCTACGCTCCTGCTTTGCCTTGCACTGAGAAGAAACAGGTCCAGCCTAACTTTAAGGGGAGTAACCAGGGAGAAGGAACTGGAACTGGACCATTTAAAAATTATTTTGCACATCAGGAAGCTTATCTTGCCTCTGTTGGAATGTGTGGTTTCTACCACTTCCCCTGGGAGCAGTCTTAAATATGTGGGGGAAAAGCAAACTGTAGAGAATAAGCCTGCACTAACTTCACCGCTGCTTAGATGTTATGGTTAGCCTCCTCCTTTGCCCCTCGGTAGCGCTGCTGTCCCCATCCCAAATCCTGGCCCTTGGAAAGCATTGGTGCTGTCACTGTTACCCTGCTTCCCGGCCATGAGGGATGGTCAGATACTTTCTGGTGCTGCTGTCACTTCTTTTGCCAGGGGAGGGTGACCTGTTCGCTGAGTCTGCTACATATAGCAAGCTCCGAGCAGAACTATTTTCATTACATTTTTATTCTTCCTCGAGATCCAAAATGCCCAGGGGATGTAGACCTTCAAAGCAGCGACTGGGACATCAAGACGATCACCAGCTCGCTGAAGTTCTATCTCAGGTAACGCACCAGCCTGTCCCTGCTCAGGGAGTGGGAGTGCTGGGGAGGACCCGGTCAGCTGGCACATTCACCATGGGGACAGGATGCTTCCCTGTGCGGGGCGGTGGGTTTGTGTCTCGGGCGTGGGGGTCTGGCTGTTGTAGGAAGCTGACAGCTCGTGGGGTCTGCCTGGGAGGAGACGGCGCTGGGAAGCGCCGCAGCTGGAGGGCCCGCGGCGCCGGCGCCGTTTCTCCTCCGGGAGGGCCCACGCAGAGGCTCCTCCAGCACTCGCTGCTCCCTGTGTCTTGCAGGAACCTTTCTGAGCCCGTCATGACGTACAGACTCCACAAGGAGCTGGTCTCGGCTGCCAGTAAGTCGCACACGGCTGGCCCCATGCGCTGCCCTCCTGCCCGCGCGCTGCATGAGCCCTGCTTGCTCCTGCCTGGTGCTGGCGGTGCCCTGAGCTCTAACACGGTGGGACGTGTCTTCCCTGGCACCCTTCCCCTCTCCCTGCACAGATGTCAGGCCAGCTGCATCCCCTAAGGCAACCCAGGCCGCTCTGTGCCCTGCGGCTCCCGGAGCTCACCCAGGAGCCGTGGGGAAGGAAAACGGTGTGGTGTCCTCCAGGGAAAGGCCAAGGGGCGCCTGGCACCACAGCCTGGAGCCCCAGCATGTGGAGCGGGTCTGGCCAGCACCACTGTACATGGAACGAGTGCTCGTGGAGCCCCTGCACCAGGTGCAAGGGACCCTCCCTTCTGGTTCCTTAATTTTGAAAGGAAGGGGATGATCTTCCTTCCTTCCTCCCTTTGATGTTCCAGTGCGCTCCCCTGTAACAGGGTTTTGCACTCTGGGAGATTGCAGACACCCAGGGGATGTTAACTAACATAAAAGCAAATCAGCCCAAGAATCCTAGCAGAATCATCTCATAGCAGCAGTGTATTTATCCTGTGAGGAAATGCAATGCAATTCACTGAGCAGAGAGTTAGATGCTCCCTTTAAGTTGTGAAATTTGCCTTGCAATGTTGAATCCCAAGTTTCTGTTGATACATGAAGTGCGTTTTTATGCTGCAGCTCTTGGGCTGGAGCCAGTGCCAGTGCAAAGGGGCAGAGCAGCGCGGCTGTCCCAGGAGGGCCTGGGCAGTGCCACCCCGAACCCTCCTCGGCGCTCCTGTTGTTATGGCTCCTTGTGGAGAAGCCATAATAATGTACAACTGGCTGCATCCTCAGACTGCGCTGAGAGCCAGCAAGCCGAAGCGGAGACTAGGGCAGTGCAGGGAGCCGATAATCTCGCTCAGCCTGAGAGTGCTGATGTTTGGAAAACTGATAGTGCACCATGAATTGTTTTGGATTAGAACATCCTTCATACCCCCACGTCTCCTTGAAGTGGACGGGGAGGAAAGAGCTCAGCCTCTCCTTCAGCTGGAGCCTTGGAAAATTGGTAGCACTTGTTCTTTCTTGTGAAGGAAAATTTTCCACCACCCCACGATTGTGCTCAAAACCAAGATTTATTAGTTTCAGGACTGATTAAACCAATGATGACTGAGTATGTGTAAAAAAACCCTAATCCCTTCCTTATCCTCCCTCAGAAAGTTGCACCTTTAAGCTTCCCACCTACCAGGATCCCACACTATTCTTTTCACACTGAGTATTTTATTGTTTCTTGATTATTTATGCTTCTTCGGGTGACCTCTTTGGGTCAGGGACTCCATTTTTTCAGGCAGTACATTTAGGTGTGCTGCTCAGGACTGCGGCTATCTGGGCTGATCAGAGACCAACAGACAGGCCAGGAGAATGAGCCGGCGCACGGCCCCGCGCAGGTAGAGGTGCCTGCGCCAGCAGCCAGAGCAGGAATCCAGCCCTGAGCCCCTTCCAAGCGCCTTTTCTCCTCCTTTCCACTTCATTTTGTTTTGCACTTTGCTTACCCTGTTGCTATGTAGTATTATGTTCCTTCTGCTTCCAGTCTTGGGGATTGGCAAGCCAACCTTATGTTCTTGGGAGAAGCACCCAGATTTCCTTCATTTTTACTGTTCCTTTCGCTATTTACTTTAAAAGTGATAGTCACAAACTTTTCCTTGTGTTATTCTTTCCAGAGTCCGAGAACCTGGATTACAGGCTGGGAGCCATTCATGCCCTGGTCTATAAACTACCTGACAAAAACAGAGAGATGTTGGAGCTCCTCATACGACACCTAGTCAAGTAAGCAGAGAATTTTCTATAATGCCAAACTAAAAGCAATAACAGGGTCAGCAAAACAAGCCTATCTTTTTTTTTGTATGTGTAGTAGGTTTGTAAAACTCTGTCCAAGACCATCCTCCTAGGAATTTATATTTAGACTGCACAAATAGGGTGGTTGTCCTTGCTATCCACTGCATTAACTGATGTTTCTCTTTCTATCTGCCAGTTTCATCCCCTTTCTGGCAAGTACAAAGCAGGAAATAATTTTGAAATGTAAATAGAGCCTGGTGGAGCCGAGCTATAAACACATCGCCCCTCAGTGCAGTTAACAGGAACATTAGGTCTGGGGTTTGGAAGTAGCTGTGAGACCTGCACGCTTGGCCTGGACTTGAAGCGCATTTTGGTTTCACCTCCAGCACTGTGGATTCAGTGCTGAGTCCCTGCAGCAGCAGGAGGGAGTGAAGATTCAGGTAGGAGAGGACTCCCACGGCACTGCAAAGCTGTGTGTGCGCTGGCTTGTGCATGCGAGTCGCTGACAAAAGCAGGTACTGGGTGACCATGGCACCAGCAGGGCTTTGGCAGTGGTGTTTTCTTGCCTTCTTGTCACACCGGTTGTGAAGGCTCCATGTGGAGAATCTGCTCTGGCCGCCCCATTGCGGGTAGGTGCTGGAGGGAGAGGCTTGTGGGCATCAGCTGTCCTGAGGATCCCACCTCATATCCATTCCTAGCTCTACACGTTAAGAATTTGTAAATTTTTTTTCTGTCAAGTGGCAGAATTGAGAGTGTCTGCCTTAATCTGATGTAGCTAACACTGTTCTTGTAGTTATGATGTTTGTTCCTTAAGGTGTTTGAAGTGTTAAATTCTGTCCAGAGCCCCCTTTAGGCTAACAGAACCCACTTTAACAGGAGAGCTACAGGGCAAGCCTAGAAATCATTAGATTTCAGCACCAAAGTCTCTCTGCTCTGGTCCCAGAGCTCAGATGTGGTTCCACTTTTGAGAACATGTAGCATCCATGGAATTACCTGGTGCTTCACTGGCTGATTGGTGCTGCTCTGCAGGCCTGTGCATTACTCCAAAACTTGAAGTCTGTTGAATAAAGACTTCTCTGTTCACTGAAAACTGTGGTTCTTTCAGGAAGAAGATGGCGCAGAGATTTTTTGAAATCCTTCAGAAATATTCTCCTTACAATGGGTTCTTCTCCTTTAAAAGAGGAAAAATTAAAGCCCAAAGTCAATCTGGAGTAAATAAGATATTCCAAATTAAATGATTCCTTCTGTGTATGATGCACAGATGGCTTTTGTTTGTGGTGTTAGGAGAGGAGTTAGATGTTTGAAGGGACAGGACAACAGCACTGTCAGCACATTGCACTCTCAGGCTGTTGTCCCAGTCAGAGGGGGTATATGTCATAGCCACAAACATGTTTTATCTCTTGTAGGCCTAGCAAGCAAATTCTGCTAAACTAAATAAAGAAAATTGAATTAGTGATGCTCATTGGCTCTTTTAAATTGCTTAGAACAAGATGCAACTTAAAATAAAACAAACAAAAAAATCTGTTCCTTCTTCTCCGCAGCATATGTGAGCACAGCCGAGAGAATCTGATGTCACCGTCTAACATGGGCGTAATATTTGGACCTACCCTCATGCGAGCACAGGAGGACACTGTAGCCGCAATGATGAACATCAAGTTCCAAAACATCGTAGTGGAGATCCTCATCGAGCATTTTGCAAAGGTATAGATGGCATAGGTGGCAAATGTATAGATACAGGAGCTCATCCCCAGGGCTCATAGCTGCTCTGTCGTGACTGTGCAAAATGTTGCTCTGGCAACAGTTTAAGTTTTTTCTGGATTTTTTGGTAATATACTGTAAGGTACTGGAATGCATCAGAAGCTATAAAAGTATCAACAGATACGTTTTCCTCACTGTTTCTGTGAGTTCCAGAGGAAAGCGGTTTTCCAGAGTCTTAAGGGTTTTCTTTTTTTGTTCGTTTCTTTCTTTTAAAGAAAAGAAGAAAGACTTTTATTGGAAAACTTATTTTATGCCCGAATATTATGCTGAGTTTATTCTTTCCTTTGCTGAAGAGAGGAAATCAAACTGCAAAGCAACTGTTCTCATCCCGTGTGGTACAAGATAAGGCATCGTAGAACTCTTACTACCAGCAAAAACAAAACGAAGCAGCTAAGTGTCGACAGACGGATGGGAGTGCTTCAGGGGTGCACGATGTGGTGAAGCAGAGGGTGACAGTGGGGAAGGATGATCAGAGCCCTGGAACATCTGCCCTGTGAGGAGAAGCTGAGGGAGCTGGGCCTGTTCAGCCTGGAGAAGAGAAGGCTGAGAGGGGATCTAATCAGTGTCTATAAGAAGTACCTCAAGGAAGGCAGTGAGGAGGATGGTGCTGGTCTCTTTTCAGTGGTGGCCACCGACAGAACTAGAGGTAATGGCCACAAACTGAAGCACCAAAAGTTCCACATGAACTTAAGGAAAAATTTTTTAACAGTGAGGGTGCCAGAGCACTGGAGCAGGCTGCCCAGAGAGGTTGTGGAGTCTCCTTCTCTGGAGATCTTCAAACCCGCTTGGACGCAGTCCTGTGCCACGTGCTCTAGGTGACCCTGCGTGTGCAGGGGGGTTGGACTAGATGATCTCTAGAGGTCCCTTCCAACCTTAAGCATTCTATGATTATATGATTCTATGATTCTATGAAGGCCTGAGTGGGCCTGCTGGAGGGGTGGCTGCTGGCAGACAGGGCACACTGGCCCAGGGCTGCCCTTGTTTTGTGCTCTGCCCCGCGGCGCTGGCACCACACTTTGGACTCTAGCAGGATTTTTCTTTCAGGGCATCTGTGTGGAATAATGTTGTTTGTTGGAATAATGTTGAGCTGGGCCCGGCAGTGGTCGGTGCTGAACATGCATTTATTGAGGCGCAGGCAGCAGCGTTGGTGTTGTGGACTGCAGTGAGAGGAGCCGCGCGGACGCGGCCGGGCGGCGCGAGGAGGAGGCCGCGCTGCCGAGCGCTGCAGCCCCGAGGCAGGAGCAGGGAGCTCGAGAGGCCTTGGGGAGGGCGCGAGCAGCGCACGGGTGCGTGCGGGTTCCCTGTGAGCCCCTGCAAACACTTCTGTCCTCCCCGCGAAGCAGCTCGCTGCGTGCCCGGGAACGGGCTCCAGAACAGGGTCTCTCTCTGCCCGTGTTGCAAAGCCGACAGTTCAGGCTGTGGCCAGCAGAGAGAAGCCAGAGTAAACAGATAATTTACACTGCCACCACTGAGATCTTTAATTAAGTGAGACATCTCTTTGCTTGCTTTTAATTTCTTCAGTAATAAGGTTAAGTTAGGAAAATTTATTGGATTGAGCTTGTAAGTTCAGCTTCAGAGTTTAAAATGTCTTCAGCTCACACATAAGTAAACATTTGAAATTAATCTGAAGGAAGAGAAAGATAAATAATATCTGGTGCAATATGAAGAATCCAAGGACAAAGTAACTGTTCATGAAGTCTCTGGATAATTACTGATTCCACAACTTATATTTCAGTGCTGTGGTTAAATTAAATAAATCTATCCCTCTGGAAATACCTTCTTCACTGTGCAAACCTTCCAAATAGAAGATTTGGTCAATAACTTTGTACCTTCAAATTACTTAACTTGGCTTTTCATTTAAAAGGTAGGTGAAAGCGGGGGCTGCACCCACAGCTTTAAACCAGAGGTTGGTGGTGCGTTTAGCAGGGTTCAACTGTCCTTGAAAGGCGTGTTAAGTAAGCAGCATTGGGTGGTAGCGCCATGAGAGTTAATAGGGAACTTTACACCTTTTCTTTCTCTTTGAAAAACAGTATCGGACTCCTGTCAGTGTGCGTGAATGAGGATGATTTTATTTTTTTAAAAAATGCCCTGCTGCAGATAAGTTGTTGCTATTTTAATAATCCATTAGCTGATGGTTTTAACTCATGGGCTGTTAATGTCACAGCACACTCCTCTGAACGCAGGCACAAGGAACACGCTGGGCTCCTGTATTCTAGGATGGAGAAAACGTGCTTGCCCTGCAAAGGACAAAGTCTCGGCTGCCGTGAAGCACCAGCAGCCAGGCTGGGTCACAGGATCCTGCAAAGAAAAAGGCTGAAAGGATCAGATCCATTTGGAGCTGGTCCTGAACCTTTTCCTTAAACTCCCCCGGAGGAAGCGCAGACACAGCAGCAGGTTGTGATGTTCCCTGTCTCTTCAAAGTCAGGAGCAAGGGCTGAGGAGCAGCGCAGAGCCCCTCCAGCACGCTGCCGTGTTAGAAATGCAGAAACAGCACCCAAGGGAGACGTCAGAGCCCGGCACTGCTGGCCCGGGAGGGGTGTCCTGGGGAGCCAGGCTGAGGGAAGGACCAGCACGTTTCTCGCTTCCCTACATCCTGCATCTTTACGACCAGTTGAAGAAGTTGTGCTTGCCTCTCTCCCAGCTTGATTTCCTAGAATTTAGCTAGGACAAGAACAAACTTGCTTTTTTTTTTTAATTACAAAAATAACATCTAAATGTTTGTTAGTTTTAAAGTATGTCATGGTGACTCTATGGAATTGCTCTCACAACAAACCATGTCCCAGTGGAGCAGCGATGCGTCAAGACAGTGGTCTGCCCAGCATGACCCTTCTTCCCAGGGCTGAGTCGTGTCTGTGGTTTCTGCGGATGCCCCCATGGCAGTACCAGCTCAGCCCTTCTCTCGGGCTGGAATTGCAACCTTGGCTCTCGCAGCCATCCCGCGTGGTCCATAAGAACTTCCTTCTTAAAGCTCATATGCCACCAGTTCGTACGCAGGGGAGGAATACAAAAACATCTGAATTGGGGCCTTAATGTGGTATTTCATGTCTTCATAAAACTTACCAAACGTTTAATTCTTTTTCAGATGTTAAAGAAGCACTGTAGAACATCTAAATTAAACCAAACCAAAGTGGGCCATGTGGACAATGTCAAAAGGAAATAGATCTCTAACCAGCTGTTGTTTTTATGCCATTGTTTTATCCAAGATAATTTTATAATACATATACTCGAGGCGAAGGCAAGACCTAAAGGGTTTTTTTAAGATCAAGTCCAAAACAATGTGGTGTTTTGTTTTGCTGTTTTCTTTAGATTGAATTGCCTCACTTGTGTGCAAAACTTGGTGTTCCCAGAAACCCTGAGCTCTGGAGCATGCTGTGGCTGCTCAGAGATAGTTTGCCCTTGCAGATGTTGTCTGTATTTGCAATTCTGTTGCGTTAAGTGGTTTAACCCTGGGGTGTTGCAGCGGATGTGCAGCGGCACAGGGCAGGCCAGTTGCCCTCGCAAGGTCTGTGTGCAGACGCGCAGCCCCCGTGTCACTGCGAACCTAAACAGAACAACCGCTGTGGCCGCAGCAGCTCGCTCCGCTCGCCAGGCCCACAGGCACATGAGCAGGGAGATGTGGAGCATTTCCCTTACAGCCTGGGCAGAGCCCGCGCCGGGGGGCTGGGAGTCCCGTCTCTGCCCTTCTGCTCACGAGGGAAGGCCTTGGTCCCCGAGGGGCAGCCAAGGCCCTTTGGGGGCTGGCGGTGACCCAAGCAGGGCTGCCCAAGCGCCCTCGCTGCTGCCCTGGGCACAGGACAGCCCCAGAGGGCCCTGAGCCGGGGTGAGCGCGGCGGGAGGCCGCTCATCCCAGCAGCTGCGCCCGGAGCAGCAGCATTCCTGGCAGCGCATGGCACGAGGGGCTGCGATGCAAAGGGACGGGGGAGCCGGGCAATCCCGGGGCTCTGCGGAAGCTTCTCGGGTGCCCCCCAGGCTCCTCCTCGGCTGAGGAGCTCAACAGCACGTAAAGGTGCTGCCTGCAGCAAAACTGCTCCTTCCCTCTGTGGTGTCCGTTGTGCCTTGCGGTGTGGCCAGAGGGACCGGCGGGACAGGCCGCAAGCTTGCGAGCAGCACAAAGTTGCTAAATAGGGATCAAGTGCTCACTGCTTCTTCCAGTGCAGGAAGCTGAGGGGGAATCAGCAGAGAGGCATGTTCAGGAAAACTCGTGGAGCTGGTTCCTGACCGCGTGCTGCACTCCTTTCCCGGGGCAGAAAACCTCTCGGGTTCGAGCACAGTTGGACCTGCTATGGGAGGAGAGCGCTTGGAGGGTCCCTTCCTCAGGCCCAGGCACTGCCTCTGGCTCCAGAGGGTCCCAGAGGACGAGGCTGGGAAGGGCGGGCCGGGC